ATTTTTTTTTTTTTTTTATTTTATTTATTTATTTATTTATTTATTTATTTTATTTATTTTATATTATTATTATTCTTTGGGTTATTATTTATCGATTAATAAACGTATAAACAACATAGCTAACACAGAAACATCATGTAACACCAATACCAACTAACACTAACAAAATATGTATAGTAGCAATAACAGTAACAACAGCAACAATAGTAATAATATATTTATTTATTTATTTGTATTTATATTTATGTTTATAGGGCAATTGCTGAGGAAATGATTGAAGAATATCGTAAAAAAATAAGAAAGCAAAGATTTATACCAACAAGAGCAGCACTTTGTCTATATGCTCCCGTCCTATACTGGGGCCGTAACCTCCAGCAGCAGCAGCAGCAGCAGCAGAAAAGGCACCAGCAAGATGATGGGCAGCAGCAAAAGGATTCCCAGCGTCATCTTAGTCCTGTGCAGACAGTAGCTGAAGCTGCTGCTGCAGCTGCAGTTGCTGCTGCACCTGATGAAAAAAAAAAAGAAGCTGCTGCTGCTGCTGCTGCTGTTGCTGCTGAACTGCAGCACCTAGATGCAGCAATTGCTGCAGTCTGTCATAAAATGGATGCTGAGGAACTCCAAAATATTATATACACCCGTAAGGCTCTAGCACAAGAACGACCTGCACCAGCAGCAGCAGCAGCAGCAGCAAAAGCAAAAGCAAAAGCAACAGGAACAACTGCGGAGAGACACAGGCTCTCGTCATTTCCTGATAGACGTAGTACAGGGTTCAGCAACAGCAGCAGCAACAACAACAACGGCGCAGCAGCAGCAGCAGCATCAGCGTGTCTCCATACGCAGCAGCAGCAAATATACCCTGTGCCGTCTGCTTTCGATCCTACGGACAGTGCAAGCGGGGACAATCAAGAGAACCGCAGAAGCAGCAGCTGCTGCAGCAATAAAAGGAAGAATAACTGCAGCAGCAACAGCAGCAGCAGCAAGGTTGTTGCAGCTGTGCCTCCTGTGCCTGAATCGTCAATGTCTACAACGACAGCTCAAGGGAGAAAAAAAATAAGAAAAACAGACTCTACTGCTGGTGCTGCTGCTGCTGCTGCTGATGGATGCAGCAGCAGCAGCTGCTACAGAGTCAAACAAGAATATATATCTTCAGCAGCAAATCCCTCTCCACCCACCGATGCTCCCACGGACACTGCAGCAGCAGGACCGCATACAGCAGCTGCTGCAGCTGCAGCTGCAGCACAAGCACCAACACCGAGAGGGATAGCGATGCCTATGCAAATAGAAGCGCCAGCTGCAGCAACAACTGCAACAACAGCTGCAACAGCAGCAGCAGCAGCAGAAGCAGCCCCACCGGATGGTACAGCCGCAGCGGCCGCGACGCCATGCGGAGTAACAGTGGCTGCTGGTGCAGCTTTTCCAGCTTCAGAAGCAGCAGCTTCACGGGCTTCAGGTGCAGCAGCAGCAGCAGCGAGAGCAGCACCTGCTCTTGCTGCTGCTGCTCCTGAGGGTGTCAATAAGGGTGTGTTGGAGTTCGCGGAGAAATTCAAGAGAGTGACGGAGATGTATGAACAGTTAATGAGGGGATTCAGCGCAGAGCAGGAGGAGGAGGAGCAGGCGCAGCAGCAGCAGCAGCAGCATCATCACGTGCAGATGCCGGCACAGCAGCAGCAGCAGCAGCAGCATTGCCATCAACAGGAATGGCAACCGCAGCAGCAGGCTCCGCAAGCACTAGAAGACAGGCGAAGTCACAGTGGCCAGTCGCAGCAGCAGCAGCAGCAGCAGCAGCAACACATGCATATGGAGGACGGTGGGCGGCAGCATCGGGACAAGGTTAGTAGCCGAGACCAGCAGCACGCGCAGCATTCGCAGCATTGGCAGCAGGAGCAACAACAGGAACATCAACAGCGGCACGAGTTGAGGAAACGAGGGCCACACCACCAGCAGCAGCATCAGCATCAGCAGCAACAGCAGCAGCAGCAGCAGCCATCCGGGAGCGCATCGGACAACTTGTGGGAGAGGAATGATAGGTATTCGAGTAGGACGGTGTCGCACAACGGACATGGACAGCAGCAGCAGCAGGAGGAGCAGCAGTGGCAGCAGCAGCGGCAGCAGCAGCGAGATCGGCGGTTGCCTACCTCTGACAGTGACAGCGTATCACATCGACGTCGTGTTTATAGGGAGGAGGAATTGGAGAGAGAGGAACAGTACCGGCAGCGGGAGCGGCAGCGGGAGCAGCGGGAGCAGCAGCGGGAGCAGCAGCGGGGGGAGCAGCAGCGGGAGCAGCAGCAGCGTCGCCCTTATGGGGAACATCAATGGGAGCAGAAGCAAGGGAGGCACAAATATGTAGATGGAGACACTGCAGGATCTCCTGTTCATCGCAGCAGCAGACAAGACACCCGCAACTGCAGCAGCTGTCCTGACAGCGGCTACAGCAGCCGCAGGTACAGCAGTGGCAGCAGCAGGAACAGCTACGGCGGCGGCGGCAGTAGCAGCGGCTACGGCGGCAGCAGCAGCAGCAGCAGCTACGGCGGCGGCAGCAGCAGCAGCAGCAGCTACGGCGGCGGCAGCGGCAGCAGCAGCAGCAGCTACGGCGGCAGCAGCAGCAGCAGCAGCTACGGCGGCGGCGGCAGCAGCAGCAGCAACAACAGTTACGGCGGCAGCAGCAGCAGCAGCAGCTACGGCGGCAGCGGCGGCGGCAGAAGCAGCAGCAGCAGCAACTACAGGGGACATCGCCGTCGATCTCCTTCTCCTGAAGAGAGGAGAGGAAGTCAACGGAAGGAACCCCCTTACAGCCATCATGCTCATCACCACCATAAGCAGCAGCAGCAGCAGCAGCAGCAGCAGAAGCATAAGCAGAAGCCTCACCGCTATGAAGAGCAGCAGCAGCAGCATTACCGTTATGAAGAGAAGCAGCATTATTACAGTTGTGAGGAGGAGGAGCAGCAGCACAACTACCGCTATGACGAGCAGCAACAACAGACGCAGCAGCATTACCGCCATGAGGAGGAGCAGCAGCACTTCACGGATAGCAGGAAGCAGTGCCCAATGGACAGGAGGGAAGAACGTCGATTGAGGCGTGTAAGCTCAAGCTGCTCGCAGCAGGAGCAGCGGCAGGAGCAGCAGCATTACCGCTATGAGGAGAAGCCGCAGCGGCGTTGCCGCTTTGAGGAGCAGCCGCAGCGGCGTTGCCGCTTGGAGGAGGAGCAGCAGCAGCAGCAGCAGCAGCGTCACGTGTATGAGGAGCAACCTCAGCAGCATTACCGCTATGACGAGCAGGAGCAACAGCCTTGCCGCTACGAGGAGCAGCACCAGCAGCATTACCGGTATGACGAGCAGCAGCAGCAGCCGAGGCAGCAGCAACAGCAGTGGCGTCAGCAGCAGCAGCGGCATAGCCAGCAGCATTCTAGACAGCAGCAGCAGCAGCAGCAGAGGCAGCAAGTCTGTGGGTAGCCGCTGCTAGAGCATTTCCTTGTTACAAACCTCCAAAGAGGGAGAACCTCGAGACGTGTAGAGAGTGCAGCAGGTGCTGCTGCTGACCAGCAGCAGCAACAGCAGCAGTAGCAACAGCAGCAGCAGCAACAGCAGCAGCAGCAACAGCAGCAGCAGCAACAGCAGCAGCAGCAACAGCA